CCTGAAGGGAGGTTCCAAAGACGATGGAGAGAGGCTGTTCTCAGTGGTGACAGATGGCAGAACAAGGAGCAATGGTCTCAAGTTACAGTGGGAGAGGTCCAGGTTGGATATTAGGAAAAACTATTTCACTAGGAGGGTAGTGAAGCACTGGAATGGGTTACTTGGGGAAGTAGTGGAGTCTCCATCCCTAGAGGTGTTTAGTCTCGGCTTGACAAAGCCCTGGCTGGGTTGATTAAGTTGGTTTTGGTCCTGCCTAGAGCAGGGGGCTGGACTTGATGACCTTCTGAGGTCTCTTCCAGCTCTATGATTCTATGAGTTGCAATGCCAGGTGGGACACACACACACCCAACGCCTGTTGAAATTAACCAGTTGGGTGCCTAACTCCCATGTACGCCTTCCCCCCCCGCACACCCAAGAGATGATCTTGTGTTTGAAAATACCTTGATGAGCACTGCACTGAACAGATATGAAGTCTGTGTGATGCGTATTTGGTGAGCTCATCAACAAAGCACATCTAGTGTTTGTGTCAAAAATACCTTCCCAATGAGCTGAGGGCTTCTAATGGATGGCTTCCTATAGCAAAACTGTCAATACAAGGCAAATGGTGAGATTTCATGGATGACTGCACAGGTTTTGAGCCGAATGAGCTCAGTTTTGTGCATCGCTGCAGAACAGATGTATTCGCTCTTCCATGCCCCTTTTCCAGCAGTGCTCAGCATTTAGGAGTTGTGGGGAGATTTCAGTTCAGTGGTGTGTTGCAAATGCTGTCACTCATAGCGACCATGCATTAAAACATTTTGTTTCTCTTTTCAGAAATAACCCTAACTTTGAAAGCTAGTATTTTTATTCCACTTGAGAGAGAGTTGTTCAGAAAACAACTTCCATCCATCCCATGGAAAAGTCTGATATTTCAATGTTTTGTTTTTCACACTGTCTAATTTTTCTTTTGGAACAAAAAATTCCAAAAAACCTTACATCTGGGAACATTGTGATAAAAATGGGGTATTTTTCAATCAAAACATTTATTTTTGAAATGTTTAAGTTTTGGAAATAGGGATTCAAAATTAAATGTTTTGTTTTGAATTTTCCTGTTTTAAAAAAAAATCAGAAAATATAGTGAGTCAACTTTTACCCACACAAAAAAATTACTGCTGACAAAATTTTATATTTAGTCCAGAATTTTCAATTACATTTTTTTGGCCTGCTCTAATGAGAGGTTATGTGTCTGTGATGTTCATTTTAATATAGTTAGTTTAGTTAATGGCAATATATTCAAACATTTGAATACTGATTGATTGCAATGTCATTGTTTCAGTTAATAAATGTTAACTCCATCAGAAATATTGTTAGATAACTTAGTATATAAAACTTAGTTTTATGATGCACCTTTTACAGTATAAACTGCAGTATAATCAGCCACACTGAGACAAACAAGAATATATGCTATTACATACAGGAGTTAGAATGAACATTGCTAAAAGAATTAAGGAGTCATAAATTTCAAGGCCAGAAGGGATCATTGTAATTGTCTGGCCTGTATAAGAGAGGCCATAGAACTCCCCCAAAATAATTCCCAGTTAGAAAAGCATTCAATTCATAAATTGTCATTAATAGGGAATCCCCCACGACCCTTGGTAAATTGTACAGTGGTTAATTACCCTCACTGATAAAAACGTGTGCCTGATTTGCAGTCTGAATTGGTCTAGCTTCAACTTGCAACCATGGGATCAGTTTGACTTTTTCTGCTAGTCTGAAGAGCACATTTCTAAACACTTGTACCCCATGTACGTACTTACAGGCTTATTCATCTCCCCCCTTAACCTTCTCCTTGTTAAGCAAAATAGATTGAGCTACTAATATTAGCATTTATAAAGTCCCAATAACCTTTTCAAATCTTGTATTTCAGTGCACTGCAAAATTGGGGATTTAGCAAGGTGATTGGGCTCGGCAAAGGGAAACCTTTTGCTTCATTGGCGATGATTATTTGCTGGACTGTGTGAGCAGAACTTTGATAATTGTGTCTTCCACTTGCATGCACTCTGAACAACCCTATGCCATTTTCCAATCACCTTATTAGTTAAATCTATATACCCTGCACTTAGCAAAACCCTCATGCCCCTGTGCAGCAAAGTACTTGAAGCTCATGGGTCTACTTGCATTCTTGGGGCAGAATGTTGGCTGGTATTAATGGTCATACTGGAGCTGTGTTCATTTATACCAGCTGTGGCTCTGCCACTGACATGTAAAAACATGCGTAGGTGTATACACCTTCTGGGTGCGGTGTATTGTCTCATCTAGTGGCACCCAGACAACTTACAGTGAGAATAAGGCATCTGCTCTACGGCCTTAGCTAATAGTCAGCTGGTTTTAACTCATTTTCTAAACTCCAGGTCTACGTCTACACTGGCCCCTTTTCCGGAAGGGGCATGTAAATTTCACTAGTCGTCGTAGGGAAATCCGCGGGGGATTTAAATATCCCCCGCGGCATTTAAATAAAAATGTCCGCCGCTTTTTTCCGGCTTTTAAAAAAGCCGGAAAAGAGCGTCTACACTGGCCCCGATCCTCCGGAAAAAGCGCCCTTTTCCGGAGGCTCTTATTCCTACTTTGAAATAAAAGCGCTTTTTCCGGAGGATCGGGGCCAGTGTAGACGCTCTTTTCCGGCTTTTTTAAAAGCCGGAAAAAAGCGGCGGACATTTTTATTTAAATGCCGCGGGGGATATTTAAATCCCCCGCGGATTTCCCTACGACGACTAGTGAAATTTACATGCCACTTCCGGAAGAGGGGCCAGTGTAGACGTAGCCCAGAGGTCCCGGGTTCTATTCCACCTGTCAGTGTTAACATGGGCATTGCTGCTTGCAGCATTGTAATACCAAACTGGTTTAGGAGCCAAAATCATTTTGAAAAGGGATTTAGTTACTGTGGAGCCAACATCCTGTGGACACTTGGTGGGATTTGAGTTTCTAAGTGATTAACTCCCTTTTGAAAATGAGCTTTAGGCTCCTAAATCAGTTAGGCATTGCAGCACTGAGCCCAGCCTCGCTTAGGCCCAGCTTTTGAATGGATTGAAATGTTTAACTGAAATAAGACCTTGCTCCTGAGTGGACATTGTGTCCTGGCCAAGTATCAGACCTGAGCTGTACTTGCCGTAGTGAGATGTTGAAATCAAAGTCTGGGTGGAGAATTCCTTGAGTGTAATTTTTTGAATGCCCCATACACTCAGAAATCATCAAAGATAGTTTGATCTCTTCAGAGAGAGACGAGTTATGGACACTTTCAGCCCAAAAGGTGAGTGTTGAGAATACTGCAAGGGTGCAAAGAGGGTTAGAAGGGATGATGCTTTTCAGGTCTTTCCTGGCAATATGGCAGTGGCTAAAAACTCAGGGTTCCTTGGAGATACAAACATACAAGAATCCAAAATCCTGCTTGCTTAGGTCTATCTCCGGAGCACATATCTGTATCATGAGGTTTGTGATGTTTCTATAGATGTTTATACCCTCTGTTTGGCATGGTCTCTAAATTTGTCCAAACTGCAAGGTAAAGTATGCTTGTCTTTTTGTCTTCCAGCCTCCAGAGGAGTACAATCTAATTTGGATCACAGCGGATCTCATTTCATTTACCATCATTGTAGGAGTTTTTATATTCCAGAAGTAAGTAACATTATTACAGATCAACTCTCATGTATTTAGGGTGTGAGCATGTTCTTCTCAAGGGTGTGGAGGTAAAAGGGAGGTGCAGTGTTCTCCAGAGCCCTTGCTTATAAGGACATGGATAATCACCCCCCCGTTCCAAACAATTTGCTTATTCCCACCCTCTCCCCTTCAGTGATAAGCAGCTGAATGAAGCTGCTGCATGGGACATCAAGGTTGCAAAGAATGAAGACTTCTGAAAAGTGGGGCTGGTTTAAACTTGGTATGGTTCTTGCTGTGGCACTAAAAAATGTGTGTGGGCGAGATCTGTCAATGCTTAGGAGAAACAGGCACCACAAGGAGAGCGCTTAAAATACTTCAAAGTAACTGTGAGGAATTCTCAGCAGCTCCAGAGATTCTGACATCATAGACTTCAATGGGAATAAGTTAGAATGTGAAGAAAGCTCTGTTAGTTGGGGTGTTTTTAAATTTAAGTTGAGAAGAAGAAAAGCATGAAATTGTCCTAACTTCGCTGATCGCCCTAATGGCTTTACAGTTCAGAGGTAGCTTGATGTGTGGAGGAAAGTCCCTCTCACCCTTCTCTAATGGACAGAGGGAGCAATAATTTCTAGCTAGTAGCTAAGTATCAGAGGGGTAGCCGTGTTAGTCTGAATCTGCAAAAGCGACGAGGAGTCCTGTGGCACCTTATAGACTAACTGAAGTGTAGGAGCATAAGCTTTCGTGGACAAAGACCCACTTCGTCAGATGCATGTAGTGGAAATTTCCAGAGGCAGGAAGGAGGTGCTGTTGTCATCATGAACAGGCCTGACTACCTAAAGGAGGCTGCCAGACAACTCTCCAATACCAAATTCTACAGGCCACTTTCCTCAGATCCCACTAAGGAATATACTAAGAAACTGCACCATCTGCTCAGGACACTCCCCAAACAAACACAGGAACAAATCGACACACCTTTAGAGCCCCGACCAGGGTTGTTCTATCTATTACCCAAGATCCACAAACCTGGAAATCCCGGACGCCCCATCATCTCGGGCATTGGCACTCTTACTGAAGGACTGTCTGGCTATGTGGACTCTCTGCTCAGACCCTACGCCACCAGCACTCCCAGTTACCTTCGTGACACTACGGATTTCCTGAGAAAACTACAATGCATAGGTGATCTTCCAGAAAACACCATCCTAGCCACCATGGATGTAGAGGCTCTCTACACAAACATCCCACATGCAGATGGAGTACAAGCTGTCAGGAACAGTATTCCTGATGATGCCACAGCACAACTGGTGGCTGAACTCTGTGAATTTATCCTCACACACAACTATTTCAGATTTGGTGACAACATATACCTCCAGACCAGTGGCACTGCTATGGGCACCCGCATGGCCCCACAATACGCCAACATTTTTATGGCTGACCTGGAACAACGCTTCCTCAGCTCTCGTCCACTTACACCCCTTCTCTACCTACGCTACATCGATGACATCTTCATCATCTGGACCCATGGGAAGGAGACTCTGGAAGAATTTCACCATGATTTCAACAGCTTCCACCCCACCATCAACCTCAGCATGGACCAATCTACACGGGAGGTCCATTTCCTGGACACCACGATACAAATAAGTGACGGTCATATCAATACCACCCTATACAGAAAACCTACCGACCGCTATACTTACCTGCATGCCTCCAGTTTCCATCCCGGACACACCACACGATCCATTGTTTACAGCCAAGCACTGAGGTACAACCGCATATGCTCCAACCCCTCAGACAGAGACCTACACCTACAAGACCTTCAACAAGCATTCTGTAAACTGCGATACCCACACGAGGAAGTGAGGAGACAGATTGACAGAGCCAGACGTGTACCCAACAAGATCCTGCTACGGGACAAGCCCAAGAAAGAAACCAACAGAACACCACTGGCCATCACCTACAGTCCCCAGCTAAAACCTCTCCAACGCATCATTAGTGATCTTCAACCCATCCTGGACAATGATCCCTCGCTTTCACAGGCCTTGGGAGGTAGGCCGGTCCTTGCCCACAGACAACCCGCCAACCTAAAGCATATTCTCACCAGCAACTACACACCGCACCATAATAACTCGAACTCAGGAACCAATCCTTGCAACAAACCTCGGTGCCAACTCTGCCCACATATTTACACCAGCAACACCATCACAGGACCTAACCAGATCAGCCATACTGTCACTGGTACATTCTCCTGCACATCCACCAACGTAATATATGCCATCATGTGCCAACAATGCCCCACTGCTATATACATCGGCCAAACAGGACAGTCCCTACGTAAAAGAATCAATGGACACAAATCTGATATTAGGAATGGCAACATACAAAAACCTGTAGGGGAACACTTCAATCTTCCTGGACACACAATTGCAGATCTAAAAGTAGCCATCCTGCAGCAAAAAAACTTCAGGACCAAACTTCAAAGAGAAACTGCTGAGCTACAGTTCATCTTTAAGTTTGACACAATCAACTCTGGATTAAACAAAGACTGTGAATGGCTTGCTAACTACAAAAGCAGCTTCTGTTCCCTTGGAATTCACACCTCCAGATCAGCTGCTAGAAGTGGGCCTCATCCTCCTTGATTGGATCACCTCATCATCTCCAGCCTGATCCTGGCCTGCATATTTATTCCTGCCTCTGGAAATTTCCACTACATGCATCTGACGAAGTGGGTCTTTGTCCACGAAAGCTTATGCTCCTACACTTCAGTTAGTCTATAAGGTGCCACAGGACTCCTCGTCGCTTTAGCTAGTAGCTAGTACTGGGACCTTCACCAAAGGCTGCATTTGGTTCCTTGGTTTGTATGAGGAGTAAATACCTTTTAGCACGGAAACAAATGCAGAACACAATCTAGATTGCCCCGCTTGTTTATAGGCTGAAGATCTAATTGTTTGGCAAGTTGCACATAGTTCAGAGTTAACCGAGGTCATAATGGCAAGTTAGGAGAATCTCTAACATGTTTTTAGGATTTGGTCACAAGTATCAGCCACCTTCTCTTTTGTTTAGCCTGGGGCAAACCCTGGCACACCCCCCCGAAACTTCCTAAGAGGAACTTTTTATCACCAATTATGACAATATGACTGGGCTGTCCTGCAAAACCTGGAGTCTGAAATAGGAATGCTCCGAGGACAGGAAAACAGCCGTGTTTGCCTAAAGAAATGTGTCATTTTAGAACTCCACCTTCTCCTTTTCAGAATTTCTCTTTGTAACCTTCTGTTTGGCACGTATAAACCACCCCAGCGTGTGCACTGAATGGGCTGCAATTTCCACTCTGATTATTACCACAAACATCCTGGTATTAGGCACAGCAGTTGCCTGTGAAACATCCGCTTCAGTTTCACGAGCTAGTGATTTTGACGCCGCGTTGCCCTGACAAAGTTGCTTTGGGGCTAATTCCCAGTGCAGATAATTATTTTGCTATTTTTGTAATGTGTTACAGTAGAGTGTCTGCAGCTGTTGAGAGCCCCACTTACACGCCGTACTCCATTCTAGAGACTAAAACGGTTGGGCTGCATCTGATAGCGACGATTTAAAGGGCCCATGCTTCTGACCCTTGGAACCGTCGGGCCTCAGGGCAACTGCCCCCTTTGGCTTCCTGTCAGCAGGCCTGCAGCAGGCACACTCCCAGTTCACCTCAGTACTACCCACTTTCCCTAGGCAGAATTCCAGTCCCTTGTATTTACCCTGAAGCTCACAATGTGTCCTGAGCCTGTAAGTGCAATTAACCAGAGATGTATAGCTCGCAGGGTCAATCAGTTCCAGGTGAGCATGAAATCCTGCCCTCGCCAGCACTGGTTTCCTTCCAAAGCACCTTTGTCCACTTAAAAACTACAACCACCAAGAAAAAAAATCAGTGCTACCAATTCCATTTGTGGTATCTGTAGCCAAGGGCTTGCCTTTGCAAGCGTGGAACTGGGAACCTACACTGCTGCCGCCTGGGTTTAGCACGCAGAGGGGGCCATTCCCATGCCTCGTGCCCTTCTCTACGGCAGAAGTGTTGGTGCTGAGGAATTCAGACCCCGTGCTCAGCTGAGGCGTTCTCTCTCTCCGCTCCAGTGGTTCAGCTCCTGCGAGACAGGCTTAAGAGTCTGAGCCTTGTGAATTCTTTGCAAGTCTTGCTGGGCAAATCAGACTTTCTTCCTATGCCCCAACGATAAGGTGGTGGGTTTGAATGGAGCCACACCGTGCCCATTCTACCTCCTTTTCCCCCCGCAGTGAATGGCTTTTTGCATTCTGTAGCAGGGCTAATAACTACTGTACCGCTTCAGCCCCACTGACGAGATGTTGCGTCTCTGTGGTCTCTTGAGAGGGGAACTACCGAATGTGATGACTTTCTAACCAATCTTTTTTGCCTTCTTGCCTGGTTTATTTTTTTTACTGCTCTGACTGTTGTGCATGTTCCTCCTCTTTCTCTGCTGCATTCTGGCATCTCACAGCTATCACATGATCAGGTAATTCTGGTGCTTTCCTCCTCCTCCCCATCCCACCTTCCTCTTTCTTCCTGCTAGGGCTTCACTGCAGACTGGGATCCTAGCCCTGGTCTACACTAGAGAGTTATTTCAAAATAACCCCCCTTATTTTGAAATTATAAGCGGAGCACCCATACCAACAAGCCCGTTATTTCAAAATAACAGGTTGGTTATTTCGAAATCTGTACTCCGGCTTTCCTTGGGGAATAAGCTTAATCAAAATAGTTAATTTCAGGAGTTTTTATTTCGAATGTACTTATTTTGAAATAATTTCCTAGTGTAGACATGCCCTCTATACAGAGCACCCCCTGAGCAGTAACTTATTCAGTAGTTACTAAAACTAGGCAGCTTCCCATGCCATGTCTAACTGTCCTTTCTAGAGACACTTCGGTCTTGTATACATGGGCAGGCTACTATGCTGAAACTTTCTCGCTCAGGGGAGTGAAAAATCACCCCCCGAGTGCTGCAAGTTTCAGCGTAGTAACTTACTAGTGTAGACTAGCTCCCAGCCCTGGGGGCTACACCCCTCATCAAGGTGGTTTTCCTAAAGTGCTGGGAGAGCTCTCTCCAAATGCTGGCGCCGCAACCACACTGTTGCATGAAAGCGCTGCCACGGCAGCGCTTTAACGTTGCAAGTGTCGACAAAGCCTTTGACATTCTACAAACCACTTCCCTTTGCGGGAATTTTATTCTGAGCACTATTTAATTAGGTAACCTTCGGGAAACTGTGATGCTCGGCAAGTAGAAATATCCTGCGGCAGGAGCACTCAAAAGGTAGGATTTCTTTTGTAGCCCAATCCGCTCTACTTTAGTCCTTTCCAAGTTAAAACATTTGGCTTCAGTACTGTCTTTTTCACTTCTCATGATTGTCTTGGCCCAATAAGATAGTACCAGGGCTGGGCAGACGGTTTAAAAGATTTGGATGTCAGCTACTGCACTAATCTGAACACAGAGACTACGTCTACACAGCTTCCCACTTCCACACAAGCCTATGCAAATGAAGCACAGATTAGCATATTGTTCTGCTTCATTTGCATAATTAATTAGGAGCCATTTTTATGCCAGAGGTTTTTGCACAAGAGCTCTTCTTCCTCAGTTTTTCAGGAAGCTGTGTAAACATAGCCAGAATCTCTCAAGATTCTCCTCTCACTTCTACCACTGTAGGCCAGGAGTAAATCCACCTAAGTCAGTGGCATTTTGCCAGTTTAGGTTGAAGGAGGCTCAAAATCTTATGACACTGGACTTCAGGCTCCCCGAAATACTATTATTTCACTGGCTGTTTCAGTGGCTTCTGTTCTGTTAGGGACAATTTGAAATCTGTCCTCTCTCTGCAGTAAAGTCTCCACCACTTTTATTTCTATGTTTGACCCAAACTCTTTATGTGTGTAACCTTCTCCATACATTTAGCTCTGACCAATGACATTGCATTACTGGTAAATGTCCCAGTCTATGTCTCTCTCCTTTATTTCCCCTCCCTTGAATTTGAATGTTTGCCATTTGTAAGTATTGCCTGCTAGAAGGTATGTGACGACTTACACAGTTGTCTGCAGTCTGCAGAATGCCTGGATTTTGTTATATGAAGTTCCCTGCATTGATGCCTTTAAAAATGGTACTTTGCGAGCAAAAAAGCTCACAATTAACAGTATTGGAATGTTACAGCTGTGGAGAAAATTCTTCCCGAGTACATAGTCTCGGTTCACATCGATGTCATTGCAAAATGTTTCTATGGCTCTTTATAGCCAAGAGAATCAGATTAGACATGTTAAATGTTCACTGGATTAAAAACAAACAAACTGAATTCTGGATTCCAGACCTGTATAAAAGGTTGAAACCTGCTTATATAGCATTTCATCTGGGATCGAGACTTTCAGGACCCTAACCCAAACCAATATGGTATTTTCAATTCAGTCTAAAAGCAAAATACATGTCCCCTGTTTTATTTAAAATAAAAGTCTTGGCTTTGTAGGAATAATGATATTTAACATTAGGGTTCGGTTTTGTTTCCAGCTGTCCTTTGTACACTGCATTTTCCACTCATTTATTCAAGCCATAATTTGAGTTAGGGCCTAACTGAATTTATGGCTCGTTCTTTTCATTATTCTGAAAATCTGGGTGTTGATGGGAATATAGTGGATGGCACTAAGAGTTCACTGTTTGCAATCAGTTACTGCACAGTGAGTTCATTGCCCTACGCTTAGATTAGGAAGTGACGGTGCTATCCTGACACATTCCAGCTGCTTCACAACAGCCACTCTGTGCTTCACAGTTGCATACTCTTTGCGGACGGTTGGCCCTGTTGTGCATTTCTCATCCGGGCAAGACTCGGATCACAGGGATCACTGTGATCAATGGGAGTCTTGCCCAGGTAAGAATTGTTACCTTAGTAATTTGCCTCCACCTCCCAAAAGCCAGGGGGAAATAGCAACCCCTCCAACAGTCACTAGATTGCAGCTATTCAGACCCACGAAACAATGCGTTCCTAAGCTGAGGGCTGCACACAGAACATCCTGTCAGCAGTTCACCTTTCTTTACAACGAGCAGGCTCTAATTCCTGTGATTGCACTGAGCACAACTTTGTCCTGCTGAGTAGCATAAGAGAGAAGGTCTGTTTTACCTGCCGCTCCCATTCAATCACTTCTGTCCTTTCAGCTGTAAGTAACACTGAACCAAACCTCAGTCACAGCCTAAAATTTCTAAAAGTTCTGCTGCGCTTTTCCTTTAGGGACGAGGGACCCTGCCTAGCCCTAGAACTGATGCTGAAAGTTGCAAGTACCAAAGAAGTGTATAGGACAGAACTTCACAGCAGACGATTTCATTATGGGCCATGCCTGTAGACAGGCTGGTCCTGCAAGACGCTGAGTAGATGCAATTCAGTAGATGCTGATTTCAGTGGGAGATGAGGAACCTCTGCCCTTCATTGATTGGGCACTGATGGCATAAACCCTTTTCTTCTATGTCAGTGAACCGTTCGCCTCAGGAACATCCTCTGAGAGCACTCAGCATGGGTGGTAGGCAAAGGTAAGGCTGGGGGAGGCAAGCTCCCAGCCCCTCCCCTCCTACCCAGATCCTGCCCCCCCCCCATGGGAGCCAGCACATCCCCCCTCCTCCGTGGGGTTGCATGCAGCCTGAGCCTTCCCAGCCCTAGAGCACAGGGAGAGTGAGCACTTGGGGGCAGCAACACTCCAGGCATTCTGGGGGCAGAGTGTGGGCGGGGCCAAGCTGAAGATTTGGGAAGGCAGTACCTCCTCCTGCCTGTGATACCCGCCCCTCTTGGCTCCCAGGAGGATGTTCATGTAGCAACCCACCTTCTCTGGCCTCATCCAGGTAGCTCCTGTACATGCATTGGCTGTCAGCCCAGCCTAGCTTTGTCCATTATATGCTCTTTTTCCTGTCCCTTGTAGAAAACAGTCTCCTTTCTCTCTCATCCAGCCCACCTGCTGTTGTGCAGCTCTTTATAAAGAGTTCCAAAAGTGCAAAAAGCCTGCACGGAGCGGATTCTGGACTGAATAGTCCTGGACCTTTTAAGCACTTTCTAAAATGTTTGCCAGCAGTGGGCCTGATCCTGTGAAGTACTGAGCGCACTCAACTTAGGTGGACTTCAGCAGCTTGCAGTAGGTGTCAAGCAAATTGATTCCCTGAGGCAGCATTCATTTCCCTGGATGTTCCACTAAGTGGCGCCAGATAACTGGAAACCTGACCAGGCTTACAGCAAACTTTTCATTTTACACTGATCCTATTTTTTGATGAAATATCAACATGAAGTTACCAGTATTTTTGTTACTATGGGTGTATCTACGCAGAACCCTAAACTCAAAATAAGATACGCAATTTGCATTATGCAAGTTGCAGATCTTATTTCAATTCTATTTTGAAATTTGAAATTTGGTGCACAGCAACACATTTTGAAATAATGCTCTATTTAAAGACATCCCTTAACCCTCGTAGAATGACAGTTACAGGGATGCCAAAATAGCACACTTGTTAAGACCCGGGTTAGCTATTTTGGGATATTTCCAGTATCCCGAAATAGCTGCACAGTGTAGACGTACCCTATGTAAAAAGGGAGAACTAGCTGAGTTATTTTATTGGAAACTGGAACCTGATGTACTTCCCCCACAGGGAAGAGAGAGAGGCTGCTTGTAGGTGGCCTATGTATCCTTTTTATGAAACTTAAATATCGGATGTTTAATTTATATACTTGTGAAACACAGTGGTGGGTGTTCACCTTATTAGACAAGGTTTGGCCCTAAAATCTAGAACACAATGTGAAAAAGTGTCCACTTTGCTAACGAGGCCTCATGCACAGGATTTCTGTCCCAATTATTATCTTGGCAGCTGGTTTATTAGTAACATGGAGATGCTTGCTCTAGGAAAGGCAGTTGGATGAGGATCTTCCAACATAAAGGTGTGCAGTCAGTCTAACATCCAAAAGGCAGCAAGAGTCCAGTATACAGCCTAAAAATTAGTAGCATACTATGGTAGTACAGATTGAAACTATATTACTTCACATACCTGTAGTGGGGGAGAGTCCAATCTAAACAGACAAGCTGCAGGTGCGGATGGAAAAGAGGAGTACAGAAAGGTGAAATGATTTGTCCAGGGACACCTCATACATCAGTGTGAAATCTGGGAAGAGAATCTGGCTTCCTGGCACCCAGGACAGCACCTTTACCTGCTATACCTCATTGCTACCTTGTCTTTGCTACCATCAGTGTAGGTTCATCCTATCGCTTTACTGTGTGCTTTCTGGACTGAAGTATCAAATGGCTCTGAAGTGAAATTGTCCCCACTTTCAGACTAAAAAGAAAAGAAAAGAAAAAGTTTTTCTCTGTGTTGGTAACAATTCTTTAGCTGATTAAAGGTGATTTTTTTTCAAAATCTGGTCTACTTTTCATTGTGCTTTTTACTTTTTCCATGTATTCAGTTTGGACAATGAAACTCAATCTAGACAGCTTCATTTTTATGGTTAAGTCACCATGCTGGATTTCATTCCTCCCCCGGTGTTCCATGTGGTGGAAACTTCAATGGATGGTTAATTTCACTGACACTTTAAATGGGAGGATGAGGGGGGAAGAGAATTAACAGAACATTTTTCCGCAAGCCCCAAAATGTTGGATCTAGGTTACATGACTCTGTTCCCCTAATTAGAGCACAGTCATTAATGTGACCGAATCACAGCACTTCTTGCTGTGCAGTATTCAAACCTATTAACTCAGACCACCTGGTCTGGGTTGTATATGGGTAATCATATTCAGAGTTACAGTAAAAAGGGTTTGAAAAAATCCTTATGAGCTTTGGAAAGGGACACAAACACTCATGCTTCAGGGCATAAACTACAGGCAGTCCCCGGGTTACATGGATCCGACTTACATCGGATCCCTACTTACAAACGGGGTGAGGCAACCCCGCACTAGCTGCTTCCCCCCAGCAGACCAGGGAAATGCGAAGCTAGCGCCCACCCCCAGCAGACCAGGGAGACGCGGAGCGGCTTTTCTCAGCAGACACCTCAGCTTGAGAATAAAGGACTGAGGGAAGTGAGGTGTGGGAGAATAAAACTGAGCTCTGGAGAAATGTTTGGCTAGAGTTTCCCCTACAATATGTACCAGTTCCGACTTACATACAAATTCAACCCTATCTTGTACGTAACCCGGGGACTGCCTGTATTCTCTAGCAGGGGGTCAGGAAGAAACTTCCCTGGCCAACAGGTCATTCTGAGACTATCCACTGTGGGTTTGCTTGCACCTTCCTCTGAAGCAGCTAGTACTTGCGTCTTCCTTATGCATGCCTCTGATTTCTCTGAAATATTCATTACTATTGAACACTTTCCATAATTAGTCTGTATAAAAATTAACACGGTGGGGGGAAGCTAAGGTGCTTTCACAGAAATGGTTTCATTTGTTTAAGACTGCCTGATTTTCAGAGCTAATGAAAATCTCTTCTGTGCACCTCCTAAAATCAAGCCATGCTGCCTAACACCAGGGCCGATGCAGTACAGTAAAGTTGAAGCCATCTTGCATCAACGGGGTTTTATGACTTCATTTGTCAGGAGATGCTTGCTTAGAGGATTGGCATTTGAGGCCAGTCCTTTACATGCCTCTTTTCTGCTGCAGATGGCGCTTGGGAAGCATACGGACCTACAACCCGGAGCAAATCATGCTCAGTGCTGCTGTCCGCAGGTCCAGTCGGGATGTCAAAATCATGAAGGAGAAATTGATCTTTTCAGGTATGGCTGCTTGAGAGCGAGAGCCTCGGAATGGCCGTGAGCAAAGCCAGGGGCAGAGGGCGAGGTTCTGCTCTTCTCTTGCCATCCGGTAGCTAATGGAGCCTTTTGTTCCAGTACTCTGCTACCGTCCCTCTCTCTGAACCTGCCTCTTGCTGGAGACACTGACCAGAGTGCCACAGAGCTAAGTGGAGTTGACTTGTGTATTGGCAGCTCAGATGACCAACCCCAGTGATTCGCTCAGCACTGGGCAGTGCCATGGATAAGGGTCTTGCCCTACAGACCACACTCTCATATGACCACTGAGACTAAGGTGGGAGTTGCAGGTTTGGGTCCCAGTATTGTAGAGTGGGGATGCATGATAATAACTGATGCTACTGAGACGTCAGGAAAGGCTGTCGACCACAGGCAACACCCTGATCTTGTGAATCAGTGGGGGCTCTGTCCAGGCACGCCTGGGGTAACTGTCTAGGAGGAGGGGCAAACCCCAGAGACTTTGAGTGTTTATGGCAGTACGAGGCTCTGTGCAGTTGTTAGTAGGGGAGTATTTAAAAAGGCATCAAGTTGGACAATTTGATATTAAAAATAATCTTCAGAAGATGATGAGTTTGTATCACTATAGCACAGTGGTTGGCAATGATTTTTGATGGGGGGCCACTCTAAGAATTTGGTAAGTGATCCAGGACTGCACTTTTCAATTATATTAATGAAGGGAGTGCAGGGTGTGGGGCAGAGGTTGGGTGCAAGGAGCTTGGGGTAGGAGATTGGGGTGCAGGAGGGGGTGCAGGGTCAGGGAGGGGTTTGAGTGCAAGAGTGGATTCTGACCTGGGGGAGGAGTTCAGGAGGGGTGCAAGGCCTGGGAAGGAGTTTTCATCAGGTGCAGGAGGGGGTGCAGAAGGTTTGGGCTGTGACCAGAGAGGGGCAGGGAGTTAGGGTGCAGGAGGAGTAGGGTGCCAGATGCAGATTCTGGCTAGGAGTGCTTACCTTAGGCAGCTCCCGGCCAGCAGCCCATCAGGACCGTCGGGCAAGCTCCCTGTCTTCCATGGCCCCCAGATGCCACTCAGAGGGCCAGCTGCTGGGACCAGCATGTATGTTTGCACAGCGTCCCCTTGGGGGGGTGGTCTCCGTATGTTGCCAGCCAATGGGAGCTGCGAGCATTGTGCTGGGGGTAGAGGCAGTGTGAAAAGACCCTTCTCCTCCTAAAGAGCGCACACTGCACAGAGACACATGCTGGCCATTTTGAGCAGCATGTGGGGCTGTGGCAGGCCAGAAGCCTGCCCAAGGGTCATGCTGGGTTGCAGGACGTTGGAGGCCCTAGGGTTGCCAGATGGTTTCAAAAAAAATACCGGACAAAAATGTGATATGGGGGTAGAGGCAGTGTGAAAAGACCCTTCTCCTCCTAAAGAGCGCACACTGCACAGAGACACATGCTGGCCATTTTGAGCAGCATGTGGGGCTGTGGCAGGCCAGAAGCCTGCCCAAGGGTCATGCTGGGTTGCAGGACGTTGGAGGCCCTAGGGTTGCCAGATGGTTTCAAAAAAAATACCGGACAAAAATGTGATAAAAATTTATCAATCTCCTCTGCATGCCTGCAGCGTTGCCATGGACACGTGTTCTGTAGGCATTATGGCAAAGGCGTCTTGTGAGGCGGGATGGCAAGGCCACTGGGGCTTTAAATGTAGAAGCTCTGGTCTCTCCCAGGGGAGCCTGCCAGAGCTGCACTGTGCTCGGGGGGAGAGGAGAATGGAGTGTGTGGGGAAGAGCCCTCGGAGCAGCTGATGGTGGAGCGCCTGTGGAAGTGGTGTAAATGGTGACGTTGGGCTGATTGTCCCTTTGAGGGCGTGCACAGCAGGCACGCGGCACAGTCGAACGGTTTATTTCCAGCATCGTTTCAGTCACTCTGTAAATATCAGCATAGGTGTTTGGCCTTATTGGTAAGAGTGTAGAGCCCCAGCAAGGCCGTCCCTAGCGGTGTGGGGTCTGGGGTAACCTCTGCCAAGAGCCCCAGATGCGGAGCCCAGGGCAACCCTCCCTCCCCACTGCAGGCCCTGCCCATGTCTGCTTCACCCTCACCTTACCCCCACTGCACTCCCTCTCCATAGCAACGTGAGCTGGGGGATTACCGGGGGCCTGGCGCAGGGTAGCAGCAGGGGTCTGCCCCTCCTCTCTCACTTGCTGTGGTGGTAGGAGCTAAAGCAGCCAAGCAGTCTGCTCTGCTCTGCCGCCCTCGCCCAGCCCGCTGCACTCTGCTTCGCCATGGCAGTGGGAAACTGCGCGCTCTGGGGCCAGGGTGCTCTGCTTCCCACTGCTGCAGCAGGCTGCGAGAGGGCAGTGGGGCATAGTGGAGCAGGCTTCCAGGTCACTTCTACTCCCACTGCCGCGATGAGTGCAAGGCTGACCCCTACTGCCATCCCACCCATGCTAGGCCCCCAGGTATTCCCTAGGCCAGCCTGAGACCTGTCCATAGGCTGGCTGAGGCAGCTGCCGCAGGGCCCCCCAAAGTGCAGGAACTGGGATGGCTGCCCTATGAACTGGATAACTCTGGGCCAGGCCTGCACAACTTGGAAAGCGACAAGGGCCATATTACTCCAAAGAAAACAGCTGCGGGCCGCAAGTAGGGATGCTCTCCCAAAAAATACCAAACACGTGGCTAAAATTTTTTGTTGAGCCAAACAAAAAAACCAAAAACAAACAAACAAAAAAAACTCCCCACGTGTCTCCACTTGGCCCCCTGGCATTTGTCTGTCCTGCACCCTTTCCCTTGGTGTCTTCCCCTTTCTCCTCACCTGCCCCCCCCCCCTCAGAACAAGCCCCTTCCCCTCCCCTACCTGGCTTCTGCCTTTTTGAATCCAGCGGTCGCTGGCCGTGACATCACACCAGCGTCCTGGTGTCTGCCGGCGTCCCGC